GAAAAGTAATTCCCCTCATTCCATAAAACACACAACCTGGAGAAAGCGATCAACTATTTCTTGGTTCTTTATTCTGGATCGTCCCGAGTTTAAGTTTGAGCAAATAACTTGCAGGTCAGGGAGAAACTGACAGGTTAAAGAAGGAGCTAAACCACTGGGGATACGAGACCAAACCCCTTTCACAACATCTCCAAATCACAATCTCCAAGTAGGACCACACCTACGAGTTATTTTCCACTCTTGGGGGGGGGGAGGAAATCAGTCCAACTGGCTAAGTTATGAAGATGGGCAAGACCGCGGTCAGTAAGAAGCCTTCACGGCTACTCACAGCTTTACAATCTTAAATTTATTTATTTATTTTACAACCTGACCACAGTTTTCTCTGCCTCTTCTCCTCCCACCTCCCCATCCCACCCCCAATCTTACACAGTGATGTCAGCTGGCCCGCTGATAGCCCTGTCTCTAGAGAAGGGAGGGTCCCAGACTCTCTACCAAAAGAGTACACTCCAGACCTGTGCTAGCCAGGCTATGTGTTCACAGAGCCAATGGATGGTCCTATACCCAGGCTCGACCCACCAATCTGCCACTGCCACTGGCCTGTGATCACATGTTCAGAGAAGAGGTAGCATCTTGTGAAACACCAACTCCCTAATCATGCTGGCCTTGAGCTGAAGCCCTGGGAGGTCTGATGCAGTGGATTTGCTGATGGATGCTGAGGGCTAGAGCACCTTCATGCCAACACCTGCCCTGGCCCACAGGTTTTTAGCAGAACATCCCCCTTGACCAGAGCATAGGAAAGTGGGTCTGAGGCTGACCAGAGAAAAAGCCTCTCTTGGATGGTTTGTGGTAAAATGCACCCTGACTTAAAGCCCTTACTTAGGAAACCACTACCTTGGTGTTCAGGAGCCCAGCCTATCGCCACTCCCCGACGGTGTACTTCCCTCCTTGATGGCACAAAATCCCATTTCCACCTGCATGTTAAAATGCAAAGGACTCGATCTCCTGGCTCGGGTCAATCCCCCAAGTCATCCCTGTGATGTTCTGGTAGGTGATCATGGGGAGAACCCTAACTCAACTCTAACTTCGCTTGTCACACTGCCTTGTCCCTGACTCACGGGTCACCCAGCACACAGGGATGCCAGCGCAAGCACAGGCAAGCTGGGCTGGAGACTACTTGCCCCCTGTCACCCTCCCCACTACCAATCGCTCAGGCTTCAGGGTGGAACCCAGGAACTTCCTCACAGGAAAAGGAGACAAGGCAGGCACTTGAATACTTTCAAAGAAAGTGGTGTCGCTCCAAAGCCCTTGTAACTAGCAGTCTTCCCTTCTTCACACAAGAGGATTCACTATTTGGGGCCATCATGTAGGAACTCCCCATGACACAGTATGTTCCTCCATCCAGTCATGACA